AGCGAGCCCCATCTCGGACAGGCCCCGCCCCTCTCTCCCGGGCTCGGCTCGGTGCCCCGCCCCTCCCCGACTGGGGCCCATTCTGTCCTCTTTTGGCCCCTACTCTTCCTTCTTGGCTAGGTCTCCCCCCATGCGGCCCCACCCTCCTTGGTTAGGGTCTTCTGTCCCCGGCTCAGCCCCGCCCTCCTGGCCAGGCCCCGCCCTCCTCGGGGAGGCCCACCCCTCTCTTCCCGCCTCTGTCCCCTCCACTCCCCGCCCTCGGCCCCGCCCCGTTCTGGGCTAGGCCATGCCCATCTGACCACGCCCTCCTCGGGTTGGCCCCGCCCCTACCGCGCAAGCCTAAGAAGGGGGGTCCCACCCCGGTTGGAAGCTGGTGCAGGACTGAGGGGCTCTGGGCCTAGGACCCGCGGAGTAACTTCCAGGTGCTTAATCTCAGCTTGCGCATCTGCAGGATGGGGAGGCGGTGCTGGCATGGAGGGTCTCCCGGGGTGCTTTCCTTTCCGCAGGAGACCTTACGGACGGGACTGGTTAAAGTCTGCGAGGCTCCTGCAGCTGTCCTGTCTACCTGTAGCTCAGGGTGAACCCTCCTGTACTTCTGAGCAGACGGTTATTCCCCGCATTTCACAGAGGCTGAGTAGCTTGTCAGGGTCAAACACATTTGAACCCAGCGGGGCTGGCTCCAGCAGGGGTGTGGCCTGGGGGGATATTGAGTTGGGCTTGGGGGACTTTGGAGTGCTGTGCTGCACTGGGGTTATGCACAGTCTCTCAGGCCTGGGTGCCCCACTTGAGGCTGCTGAGTAGGGGCCCCTGCTCTTGGGGAGACCGTGGGGATCAACTCTCCCGAAAGGGTTGTCCAGTCCTCGGCATTTGTTCTGCTGTCCTGGCCTGTCCTGAGCACGTGCAGGGAGGGTTTTCTCGCGTTGTCACCAGAGAGGCCTGCACCCAGGTGTTTGCTGGGGAGCACTGTCACTTGCCCTTCTCTGTCCCACTACCTCCCCAATGGGCCCCATGAAGAGTCTGAGGATTGTGAGTTATGTCACGTGGGGGCTCCTGCTTGCTCCCTACACACCTGCTGTGTGCCAGGAAAGCAGACAGGAGCCCCATTTTTCTGGAACTTACTGTCAAATAGGCAGATGGATTTCTAAAAAGTTCACAGAAGTCTACAGCCATGCCACTCTGAACAAGCCCGATTCTGTCTGATTTTGGAAGCTAAGCAGGGTCGGGCCTGGTTAGTACTTGGATGGGAGACCACCTAGGAAGACCAGGTTCTGTAAGCATAAAAAATAAAAAGTTCACAGAAGATGAAGGGCCAGGTCCTGAGAGCAAGGGTGGGCCTGTCCTGCAGAGCCCTGGGGAGTAGGACAGAGCAAGGAGGTCCCGGCAGGGCGTGCTGAGCCCAGAGGCTATGCTGGGAGTTTGCAAGACTGGGTGAGCTGGGAGCGCTGGGGCTTTGGTTAGCAGCTTCGGAAGATTAGGTTAAGGTCTCAAAATGACCACTGGCAGGCGGGGAGATTGGAGGGGTGCCAAGGCTGGATGCGGGAGCCCAGTTGGGGACTCACTGTGGCCGTGCAGGCGGGTAAGGAGATTGTCCTGGACTAGGGGGATGGCAGTGCAGACAGGTAAGCAAGGTCCTCGCCCTGCACCATCCTGCACGGCCTGTTTAAATGAATTAAACAAGTGAAATTAGAGGTTCAGCCCTCAGTGGAACTCCCCCACTTCCCATGCTCAGTGGCTCTAGCGGCGCTCGTCATCAGGCAGCTCAGAGTAGTTTTCCATCCTTGCAGGAAGTTCTGTTGGCCAGCACTGATCTGCACTGCCTAGGGCACTGGGGTTCAGAGTATGGTGAGGGAAGGTCACGGAGGACCCCAGCATTTGGGACTGGCTAGCTGTGGCGGGTAATTTAGCAGCACGAATGGCTTGGGGTCTTAAGCGGGAGAGTCACAGCCATCCTCGCTGCCTCTGCTCACAGCTTGTTTCTAAGTTCACCTCTGGCTTCTCCAGCTTCTGACAGCTTCTGATGTGTGTCGGCCCGTTAGCAGTGTTTGGTGGCTCATGCGTCTGTCCCTAAAAGAAGATATCTTTATCCTTGTCCCCTGCAAACCCGAACAAAAACAGAAGGCAAAGCAGGCTCGTTATCTGCGGACTTTAGGTGCAAAGCCTGGAGGCAGGTCTGAGTGCTGCTCTGAGAAGTCTGTGTCTGTTTCAGGTATCGAGAACCTTCCCTGTGAACTTCAGAGGAACTTCCAGCTGATGCGAGAACTGGACCAGAGGACAGAAGGTGGGTTCAGGCCTTCAGTACAGCCAGGGAGGGGAGGCGCTAGGATACTGGGGTGGCACTGGGTGACCAGGGGAGGGGCCTGGTGCAGTGGGGCTGCGGCCCAGCCTTAAGCTGTGGGTGCGGATGGTGTCTTAGAGAGAGCACTAACACTTTAAACCAGACTTCGTTCCTCCGGTTCTTACGCATTTTCAGATCACGGCTTTGTAAGCATCATCCCCTCCTTATAGTCAAAGTGTTTATTAACTTTTTCTCTCTTTTAAAAGATTTTCTAATTTTAAACTATATGCAGATGCATAGTTTAAAAAGTGCTTTTGATCTCTTGGTATTTAACTCTCTATTTCTAAGTATCACATTTTGCTGTTATTTCTTACTTTATTTCCCTTCAGTTTTCGATTTTAGTCATCATGGAAAATGAAGACCTCCTCTCCAGTTGCACCCCACCCACCTTGTGCACCCCGCCTTGCTTCCCCGCCTCCCGGGGGTTGTGGGTTGGGGTTTGCGTCGTAGACCAGTGATGGCGATGCGTTCCCATCGGGACCACTCTGTGGGGAGCTTACGACTGAGCCACGCCATGTGCTTTGCTTACGTGACTTTTTGAATGACTGTGCTTTTCTTGGAGTTCCTAATGGCTTTGTTTGTTGGTTTTGTTTTCCACATTCCACACACGTTCCGCGTTATCAGTGTCTGCTGCCCAGGTTCTCTGTGGCTCTGCTCGCTCTGCACTGACACCTCCCCAGGAGCCCTCTGTCCTCAGATACCCTGGGCCGGCGGTTTCTGGCCCTGGGTCTTCCTGGCCTCCCTCTTTGCTGCTCCTTCTTCTCGCTGGGACGTGTTTCCTGGGCCCTGAATGTCCTCGTTCTTGCTCTGCCCCCTCGTTTCCTAGGAGCTTTGCCTCTGGTCTCCTCCTGAGAAAGGGTACATGGGAAGGCGTGCCTGAGGACGTGTTTGTTCTGGCCTCATGTTGACTTGTCGTGTGGCTGGGAACAGCCTTCCAGGGTGACAGCCACCCCCTGGACGTGCGAGGCATTCCGCCCTGGCTCACTGCTGCCACGCTGCTGCGGATGCGTCAGAGGCCCCTGGGTCCCCAGCTTTTATAGGCGTGGCCCTTCTCCTGCCCTGTTTGAAAGTTCCAGGCTGTCCTTAGCCCTGGGGTGTTACATTTCCTGATGATGAGCGTGGCGGTGGGTGCTTCCCATTCATTTTCCTTATCGGAATGGCTGTGGTTTTTCACTAAGGCGCAGCAGCCTGACTCGCAAATACGGAGCCTACTTTCATTACGAAATAACAGCATTTACATTCCGAAATAAGCATAAACAGCATAAGTACGAGTTGCTTAATGCACGTCACCCGGTGAACCTCTTGCAGGTGAAGTGGTGCCTCTGACCCCTGGGGACCTTTGTGACAGGCAGCCACCCTGAGCTTCCCTGCCTCTGCGCCAGAGCCGAGAGCCGCGTCTGCTCCGCCCTCGACATTTGTGAACCACGCAGGGCGTCTCATCTGTCAGGGCCAGCCCAGAAGCCATGTGGTCCTGGAGTCATGTGTCTGCTAAATGGCTGTAGCCTGGCTCGGTGCTTGAAATTCCTGCTTAGTGTCCCCTTCTGTGGTTTACTCCCTGCTGTCACGTGGGGCAGCAGTTGGTTCTTTTTGCTGCTGGACAACAGCACATCTATCTCTGAGCGAAGGCTGGACATTTTGGTTGATTTGTGCAGCTATGACTGTTTCCCCAGCGTGTCCTGGCGTCTGAGTCTTTAGGGTGTGCGCCTAAGGTAGTGGGCCAGGTGCCCGGGGAGGTGAGCGCGTGTTATTCAAACCGGGACCCCTGAGGGTCATACGGGGCAGGGCGCACGCCCGCTGGGGTGGCAGTCACATCCCGGGACAGCCCTGGGCGTCGCCCAGCTTGGAGCGTCTGCACGGCCCCACGATGCCTCCCTGTCTGCGGAGTGCGGGCTGTCACCTCTTTGCCAAAACTCGGTATCGTCGGGCTCCGTCTGCCGCCAGCCCGCTGAGTGTGTGCTGGCGCACCGTCAGGGACCGGCTTCCCGCCTTTCTCTGTCAGATAAGAAAGCCGAGATCGACACGCTGGCGGCGGAGTACATCGCCTCGGTGAGGGCCCTGTCTGCGGAGCAGCGCGTGGCGCATCTGCAGAGGATCCAGAGCGCCTACAGCCGCTGCAAGGAGTACAGCGACGACAAGGTGCAGCTGGCCATGCAGACCTACGAGATGGTGAGGCTGCTCGCAGCGCGGGTGCCGAGGGACGCGTCCCTCACGGGACGGAACTGTGTGTCGTTGTGTTGGCTTGTGTACGTGGCTGGGGACGCCGTCTGTTTTATCCGTTTTTATATGTATTTTAATTCTCTTTTTGGTCAGCTTTAGAAAAGTCCTAGAATGTGTTGTATCATGTTTGCTCACCTCATGTGGTGACACAGGGCTTTGTCCCGCAGTGCACGTGAGGTCGTGTGGTGAAGCCCTGCTGTCCTCCTGGGTGGCCACCTGACTGAGGCCCTACCCCGCCTCTCCCATAACATGACAGCGATTTCTTCAAAACCTGAGTTAAGATATGTTTGAAAAAGAATACCCTAGATGGACACCTTGATGCTTATATTTGAGATTTTGATGCCCAAACTTCTGTGTCTTTAGAGTAAGCGGCCTGTTTTCTGGAGTGTTAGGTTCGATCAGTGACCATTAAGGCAGATTTTCTCTGTGGCGTGTGATGCACTTGGGGCTGCGGTTCATTTCCAGACTTGGCAGGTGGTGTTGCTCGCCTCGTGGGCTGGGACCTCCGGGATCAGCGACTGTCAGGCCCGGTTCTCCAGCTGAGCGCGTGCCGGCACTCTGGGCAGGGTCGCCCCACACACGTCTTGCTGGGCGCTCGCTCGTCAGCTCGTCCGGCACCTGCAGTGCTAGGCCGGTAGCCTGTTCTCTCTCTTTTTTTTGGTTATCCTGTTTAAGGACCTCTGTGTTTTTAAATTAGGACTCAGGCCAAGTGTCCTCACCCCTACCCCACTGCACTTCACAAGTCTCACCGCCGACCTCCAGGGTTCCTCCTGAGCGGGGTGTATCCCGGCAAGGTGGCAGGGAAGGCCCTGCAGACACTTCGAAGCAGCGGCCGCGTTTTCGCTGAGCTTCGTTAACTGGAGACCCAGTTAAAGGGCCTGCAGGTGCTCGCTGCCGGACTTGCAGATCGTCGCTTTCCGTTTTAAATGAGGCCCACACGCGTCCTTCTGCGCAGGTGGATAAACACATCCGAAGGCTCGATGCGGACCTGGCGCGCTTCGAAGCAGACCTCAAGGACAAGATGGAGGGCAGCGACTTCGAGAGCTCTGGAGCACGAGGGTTAAAAAGCGAGTCTGCCAGTTTTCCCTTATTTTGTTATTTTAACTATGGCGTATTGAAGAATTTTGTTTGTTAAATGTGTTAGGAACGTTACAGTAAATATCGTGTTTGGTCAAACCTTGTCCTGTTCAGTGAATTTGGTGAAAACAGCTGGGGTCTTTGTTGTCTTTCAGAAGGTCGAGGTCAGAAAGAAAAGAGAGGCTCCCGCGGCCGAGGCCGGAGAACCTCCGAGGAAGACACTCCGAAGAAGAAGAAGCACAAAGGAGGGTGAGAGCCCGTTTTTCTTTTCTCTTTTCCCCGAGACACCATCAGTATTTGTCAGGGCTAGAACAGCAGTGACAGCCGCCCCGAGGAAGCGCGCACAGTGCCGGTGCAGCCGCAGAGCTTCGGGCGTTACGGGTGCCGGTCTGGCGGTCCCCCAGCAGCCCGGGGCGAGCAGCATTGTCACCGGTGGTCCCCAGGGAGGGTGCCTGCCCGAGCTGGACAGCCAGCGTGCGGGAGCACCCGGCGTGCTGCCCAGCCCCTTCTCTGAGCCTGTGTCCTGCCTCTCCGGTGACACGACAGTGTGTGTTACAGTTCAAGCTAACCCACTCTTTAGTAGCTGAATATATATCTGTTGATCATTTCGTATATAGGTGTATATTTGTACATATTTATCATTGTGTGATTACGTTTATTAAATATACATGTCATTTAACTTGAAGTTGAGAATGTTTCATTTGAAGCCTCCCACGTGCCCCCCACCCCCCAGGTACTGCAGTGTCACTTCACAGAAGTGATATTTAGACTAAACAGAAAATGGTAAAATGCCAGGTGGCTTCTGTGACGATTCTGACGGTTATAGGGAGAGGTCAGAAGACCTAGTTCCTGACAGAAAGGGAAAAGCTTTATTATTAAAGCCTGGGTTCAAACTTTCATCTTTCAAAAAAGCCCAGATGCCAGCCTGGGCGTTGTGAAGCAGCAGGGTGCAGACCAGCTCACGGCCCAGAGGCGCGGTGTGATGAAGCGCTGTAGGAGGCGCGGCCTCGTCCCCGCGGCCTCGTCGGTGACTGGCTGCTGCCAGCAGCCCTTTCCCGTGCCCGTCAGAACCATGACCTCCCTAAGCCCCAGACAAGCACGATCCCCACTTATCTAGTGTGGATTCCCATTCTTTCTTCCTAATTTTGTCTCCTGTGTGTGCTTCCTGGACATTAACCTTCGAGATTAACTTTATTTATATATATAATTTACATACAGGAAGATGTTCTCATTTTATGTATAAGGTTTGATGCTGCATTTGAGTTTTTTGAAGTTTTGGAACGATCCAGGCTTTCTGTTTCTTTTTGAGTCAATTTTGGTAATCTGTCTTTCAGGGATTTGTTGTTTCATATAAGTTGTCTGATTTATTGACTTCGAGTTGTTTATAATGTTGCATTATTCTTCTGATGTTGTAGGATCTGTAGAGATGACTGCTTTTTCAGGCCTGATGATATTGGTAATTTATGTCGTTTCTCGTTTTGTCTTGATCTTTTCAGAGAGGTGGCATTTGGTTTTATTGATTTTTATTTTCATTGTTTCCTCTTACATTTAATTCTCCTCTTTTATTATTTCTTTTTTCCTACTAAACTCAGATTTACTTTGCTTTTCTTTTTCTATCTTTTTAAGTTAGAAGTAGTTTAGATCATTGATTTTCACACCTTTTCTAATATAAGTATGTAAAACTATAAATTTTATTGTACTTCTCGCAAATTTTGATATGCTGTATTTTTATTCCATTCAAAATATTTGAAAATTTCCTTTATGGCTTTCTGACCCATGGCTTATGTAGAGGTATATTTCCCAGTTTCCGAGTAATTTGGGATTTTCTGTGTCACTTTCTGATTTCAATTGCAGTTTTAATTTTGCTGTGATTAGAGGACATTTTATGATTGAAACTCTGCAGCTGCCTAAGAGTC